CTGCATGCCTTGCAACTTGATCAGGGAAGGAGCAAACAGCTGGAGTAGCTCTGGTCTGCCCATGTGTTTTCCAGCTGCTCCATGGGGAAGGAGACAAGGTCAGAGCTAAGGAGCAAGGTGGGCAGTGACCTCACTGCTGATCGCATTTGAATGCACCACCCAGGCAAGCTCCAGAACCAGAGGGGACTCAGGGAAATGTCATCCTGAAAAACCTCCAAAGTGGGAGTGCTCAGATCCCAGCTTCAGCCAGATAGAAAAAGAACAAACTGAAGATGATTGAGCTGGGAATGGGGTGGCTGGAGAGTCCAGCAGCATCCATCTGTGTTTGCCCCTCCAAGGCCAGCTCCTGCTCAGGGCAGTGTGTGGGACCTGGGGCTGTGCTGGCTGCCCACGGGGTCACCCCTGCTCTGCTCTGTTGTTGCAGGAGCTGTGTTTGTACACACTGGGGAACCTCGTAGTAGAAAGTGAGGCTGTGAGGAAGCAACTGCTGCCTCAGGGCATTATTCCAGTGCTGGCATCCTGCATCCAGGTGGGTGAAACAGCTCAGTCACATTTCTGCTATGCCCTGGAGAGACTTTTCTGGCTGACAGCCCTGAGTCACCAGCCCTCCTTCCAGCTGTGGGGAAACTGCAGGGAGCTGTTCCCACAAGTGTCAGGGTCACTTGTGGGCTCCCTGTGCTCATTCTCAGGGCTCAGCTCAGCTCCTTGTGCTCTTCTCCAGCTGAATCCCCCCCATCCAGTGGCTGCCTGGTACATTCTGTAGCACAGGGAGCCCTGTCCCCTCTGCCTGGCCTGGGTCCAGCAGGGCTGTGGTTTGCAGGTCCACATGCTCACACCAGGACTTTTCCTGTGTTTGGGCTAAGGCCAGTGAATGTGGGGAGGGGAACAGCTCAGCTCTGGTGTGGCCACAGGTTCCTGTGTCCCTCCTGGTCCCCTGTGTGCCCCCTCTTCTCCAAGCACAGTGGGGCTGTGCTGCTCAGCTGGGTTTGGTTGGCACCCTGGGGCCCTGGCTCTGCCAGGAGGGATCAGCTCTGCCAGAGGGATCAGCTCTGTTCTCTTTGGTTGCAGTCCCCTCACGAGGCAGTGCTGGAAGGTGTGGGCTATGTCCTCTCACAGCTCCTCCAAGCCAAGGAAGCACCCACGGAGATCATCCCGTGAGTCTGAGCCCCTGAGCCCTGCACCAGGACGGGCCCTGGGGCCTCCAGTGGGATTTGTGTGCTGGGGACACGAGGCCTTCCCCATCCCAGTGACATTAATAGTTCAGGCCACAATCCTACCAGAACTGTGCAAGTTTTGATGCAGATCAGGGAGCAGGGTTTGGCTCCTTTCCCTCAGCCTCATCTGAGCAGGCAGCTCTGGTATTTCAGTAAAGGCCAGCATGGAGCAGGAAAGGCTTGCAGGGAATTCTGGCTGTGTTCCTCTTGCAAAGGAAAAGATCAACTTGACAGCCCCCAGTGCCAAAAATGTGACCCCAGTCAGAGTGTCCTGAGTGTCCCCAGGCCCTGCGATGGACAGGGAGAGCCCAAGGCCACAGCCCTTGGCTCAGAGTTGCTTCCAGGTGTGTGTTTGGACCCTGAGGCCCCCAGGATGGGGTAGAGCAGCTCCCTGCTCAGGGTTTGTGTCTCCCTGTTGGTGTCCTGCCTGTGCTCCAGCCTGTGCCTCCATTAACTCTGCTCTCTGCCCCCAGGCTGGTCCTAGACTCGGCTCTCCCCCAGCACATGCTCCAGCTGGTCTGCTCTGGCCTCAAGGCTGGCATGGGAGCAGCTGTGGAGTTTGCCTGGTGTCTCCACTACATCATTTGTAGGTAAATGCAGTTTTCTCCTCATTTCGAGTTCCCTGGGGGCAGCCAAACAGAGGCACGAAGGCTCATGGTCCTGTGATGGGATCCAGATTGCCTCCCCTTTTCCCTTGGGAAAGCAATTCCCCAGCCAGCCTGGGTGTCCCAGCTCTCCTCTCTGAGCACATGTGCTGTTTGCAGGATCACTGAGCTCTTTTACAGGGTGGTAAAGGGGTTGAACCTGAGGAGGCTGTTTCTAGTCCTCTGAAATGCTCCCAAATTGCTTCCTCATGCCTGGAGTTGTCCCCCACACTTCCCAAGGCAAGCTCCCTGAATCCTCACACTTGTGGGGTTGGCCCAGGGCCACGTGTCTGGGCTGTGCCAGCAATCCCTGCCTGCCACTGGAGCCAGGGGCTGAGTAGATACTCAAGGGTCAGGGCTGTTGTTCCCAGACCCACACAGATAATTCCAGTGAATCTGGTTTTCATGGGCTTTTAAATTTTCTCATAAGCTCAGAAAAAACCCTGCTACTCCAATGCAAAAGAAGTCACTGTTCCAACATGAAATAAGCCCTGTGGTGGTTCAGGAGAGCACTCTGAATTTCCAGGCCCTGTTTGGTGAGGGGATGTGGCAGTCTCCCCTCTCCAAGCTCCAAGGCCACTGCACTGTCCCTCCCTTTGCAGGCACAAGGACAACGTGCAGCTGCTGGCGCTGGGGGCCGTGCCCGCGCTCACCTCGCTCCTGCTCGACCTGGCTTCCCAAATCCCCCAGGATGCTCCCGAGGGCCTGGAGCTGGTGAGAGGTGGGCAGGGTGCTGGCTGTTCTCAGGATCGCTGTGGCACACTGCTCAGCTGAAGGCGTTGCCGTGTCCCCGTGTCACAGCTCGCGTGCCCCGTGCTGCGGTGTCTCGGTAACCTGCTGGCACACGCAGGCTGCCAGCGCCCGGACGCGCGCCTGCTCGTCGCCCTGTTCCTCGTCCTGCAGTGCTTCCTGCAGCAGCACCCCTTCCTCGTGCAGGAGTGCCTGTGGCTGCTCAACAACCTCACGGGTCAGTGTCCCACGGGCAGGTGGCACAGCTGGGCACTGCTGGCACCCGCCCTGGTTTTAGTCACACGTTCCTTCTCTGCCCACCCAGCGGATGATCCCTTCTTCTGCTCCGCTCTGCTCTCCCTGGACCTGCTGCCGGCCCTGCTGCAGCTGCTGACGTGTTCCCAGATGGGCACTGTGCTGGTGAACCTTGCCCCAGGCACTGGGAGTGGTGGGGGAGCGCTGGACTTTTAGGAACACGAATCCCACAGTGACAGTGCTGGAGTTGGGGGTGGATGGGGCAGCAGTGACAGCTTGGCAGAAGGTCTCGTGTGGTGGCAGTCACCAGCCACCTCCCCTGAAGCCACTCCAGCTGTATGTGCCCTTGGCAGAGCCTTGTCCCAGCATAAGAGTGGTCCCCAGGGAGATGTTAGCTTGGGGCCAGCCTTGGAGCAGGGCTGGGAAGGCTCCTGCCTTTGCTTTGAAAGATCCCAAAGCTTTGGGAGACTGGGGACGCTGCCAGGAGTGGGTGGCAAGGCTGGGTCTGCCTGGCACAGGGATCAACAGTGCCTTGGGGTGGCTGTGGAGAAGGCTTTCCAAATCCAGTGGTTTGATGGGAACTGGGCTGTGGGCAAGCACCTGGCAGGACAAGAAAAAAAGGTGGAGAGGGACTTCAGGCAAGGGCACGAGTGACAAAACAACAGGGAATGGTTTCACACTGAGAGGGCAGGGTTGGATGGGATATTGGGAAGAACTCTTCCCTGTTAGAGTGGTGAGGCCCTGGCACAGGTTGCCCAGAGAAGGGATGGGGCTTGGAGAAACCTGGAATAGTGGAAGGTGTCCCTGGCCACAGCAGGGGTTGGACTGGATGAGCTTTAAGGTCCCTTCTAACCCAAACCATTCCACAACTCCATGACATGGGTTGGGAGCCCTCCCAAGCCTGTCAGGAATGTGCCCGTGGAGCATTCACTGCTCACTCCTGTCCCTCCCACAGGTCCTGACTGTGCTGTGCAACATGGCAGAGAAGGGACAGTTCCAGTGCCAGCGGCTGCTCCAGCAGCCCCTCCTGGCCCAGCTCCTGCCCCTGCTCACACTGCCCGACCCCGAGGCCGTGGGGCAGTGCCTGGAGCTGCTGCACCTCCTCTTCCTGCACTGCCCAGAGGTGAGAGCTCAGGGGGCAGGATTGTAAAGGGGGTGGGGAATGATTACTGAGAGGGTTGTTGTTGTTGTGGAGGGGAATTATTGCAAGTCACAGTGCCCTCAGTGACTGCCACGCTGCCCTCCAGCCCTCAGCACCCAGGCCCCTGGCCAAAGGGACACTGTGATGCACAGGGTGGCTGGAAGCCCCTTTTGTGTCTGCAGAGTTCCTTCCTCATTGCCAAGGAGTGGTGTTGGGGCAGGTTGTTTCTACCCCAAGTCTTCTTTTGCTCCTGCTGAGGTTTCTCACTTGCTGCAGATCACAGGAAAGAGTTCTCTGTGAGGTTGGCAGGCCCTGGCACAGGGTGCCCAGAGCAGCTGTGCCTGCCCCATCCCTGCATGCCCAAGGCCAGGCAGGATGAGGCTTGGAGCACCTGGTGGGAGGTGTCCCTGCCTGTGGCAGGGGCTGGGAATGAGATGGGTTTTAAAGTCCTTCCCAGCCAACCACCAGCATGGTGGGATTTACCTGGATTGGGAATGCAGCTCTGGGGAATTCCTTCAGCCCTGTTCCCTGGGATGTGGTGGCTTGGGCAGAGATGATCAGCTGTAGCACTCTGCCAGCTCTCACCCTCTCCTCTCACACAGGCTGCTGCTGATTTCACCAGGCAAGGTGGGCACCGGGCCCTGGAGCAGCACCAGAGCACCCCAGAGCTGCAGGAGCGGGCACAGGCACTGCTGGACATGGTCAGGCAGCCCCCAGGAGCCCCCAGTGCCTGCCAGGCCACACTGGCTGCCTCCTTCTAGGCCCTGCCCTCTGCCTTCCCTGCCCTGAACTGCCAGGCGAGGAATAAACTGTTCACCCCAGTGCCCAGCTTCCCAGGGCTCAGGGCTCTGACGTGCCCAGAGCTGGCTGCATGGGGGGCTGGTCCTTGTCACCAGCTGGTAGCCACCAGCCCAGTGCCCCCCAGAGCCTGGAGCAGGGGCAGAGCTGAGCTGCAGATTCTCCTGTGCCAGGGAGGGCTGCATCAGCCATTCCTTGAGCTCTCAGCCACCACCAAGCTCAAGGTAAGCACATTGTGTTTATGAATTGATAAATTAAAGATACATTTTTGACATTGAAGGTAATCAGTCAAGTCTCCAGCACGTGTGTACTTCCCATCTGTCACGCGTGGCCTTTCACAACGCTCTCCAGGGCCTTGCCCACTTCATCCACACTTAGGTTGTTCAGTGGGATGCTCTTCTCCTTCCCAAACTCTGTGGGAAAACAGGCAGGGTGAGAGGAGGCAGGTGTGTGGGTCCTTTCCTGGTGCAAGGCACTGATGTCACAGCCCAGGCTCCCATCACCACGTCCCAGTGTTCCTCCACGTGCCCAAGTTAACATTTCCACCTTCTTATTCTCCTCCTTTCCCTTGGAAAGAACTCAAAGCAGCTCAATATCTTTCCCAGTCTCCTCTGGCTGGGCAGAGACACATCCAAGAGCAACCCTGTGGCCTTCAGCCTCATCCCAGCAAGGTGCTCCCCTTAGGAAAGCAGCCTGAAAACTGTTCCTGCAGCTGCCCCAACCTGGGCTGACCCCGGGCTCCACTTCCCTGCCAGTCCCACCCAGACACATGAGACTCCCCTGGTCTGTGTGCTCACACTGGGAAACCTGTGCTTAAAGAGTCATTGCATCTTTTCAACAGGTTCTAAATTATTTTTTTCCAGCCCAGGTGACCTTTGAGGAAAACAAATCCTTTCCAGAGGGGCTTTTCTGCTCCCTTCTTGGTGTTTCACTAAGAAGGCAGTGAAAATAAAAGAGGAACAGCCACATTTTTGTGTAGTGACTGGGGAGGGGGTGGGAGATGACCCAGCCCCAGAGGCTGGAAAGGCCCTGCTGAGCTCTGGGCCCTGCTCTGCTTCCCCAGGGTCACTTCCCTGAAGTGACCCCGCAGCCTGGCCTGCGGGCAGCTGCTCCCCCTGCACCACCGCCCCTCCTGGAGCCCCCGAGCAGCAGTGCTGCAGCCCAGAGCCGAAATCCCTCCCTGGAGCGGGGCAGGCCCTGGCACGGCTGCCCGGAGCAGCCGGGTCCCGTGGCAGGTGTCCCTGCCATGGCAGGAGGTAGCAGCCAGCAGCTTTAAAATCACTTCTGCCCCACACAGTCTGTGAGTCTCCCCACCCCCGTTCTCCCGTGCCTGTCCTTTCCCCACGCGCCGATCCCTCCCATAAATACGGATGGGCCCTGAAGTCCCTTCCAACCCCAACCATTCCCGGATAATTCCGTGGTGTTTCCCGGCGGGCAGCCCCTACTTACCGTACCGAGCCCAGAGCTTGGGCTGGATACCGGAGCACTCGCGGATCAGGATGGGGAAGTTGGGATTTGCCTTCTTCAGGGTCACATAGTGCTGCTCGACAAATTCCCTGCGGAGGGAAGGAGGAGCGGCGGGTCCCTATGGCTCAGCCCGGGGGTGTCTCGCTCCCCTGGGAGACCACCCCCGTCCCGGCCCATCCCCGCGCTGACCTGACGCCGCGGCTGCTGGCGGAGCGCTGGCACAGGTGGATGCGGAGCTCCCTCAGCGCCTGGCCCAGCCCGCCCCCGATGCTCTTCACAGCGGCCGCCGCCATCTTCCCTGCCCGCACAACAGCGGGGGCGGGACCGCGGCGCCTCCGCCAATCGCAGCACCCGCTGTGGCCCGTCCACCAATGGGAGCGCCCGCCGTGATCTCACCCGCCAATGGGAGCGCCCGCCGTGATCGCACCCGCCAATGGGAGCGCCCGCCGCGGTGTGCACTGGGAGGGCCGCGCAGAGCGGAAGGGTTGCGCAGCGGAGCGGGGGCGCAGCGATGCCGGACCGCGACAGTGAGTCTGGGGACAGGGGGCACGGGCCATTCCCGGACACCCCCGGACCGCGACACCCGGCCCGCGCGGGGGCCGTCGCGGCGCTTTTGGCGGGGCGGGTGGCAGCGGCCCGTGGGGGCGGTGTAGGCCCAAGCTGCGCTGGGGAGCGGGGACCGCGGGGAGCCCCGGCCCGGTGCGAGGGACAGCTCTGCGGGGGACGGGCTGCGGCCACAGCCCGCGGAGCCGGGGCAGTGACCGCGCGGGACCGTTCGGCGGCCCACGCTGAGGAGCTAGGCGGGGGTGCGGCGGGGCTGAGCCTCAGCGCGGGGATTGACACCGGGAGCGCCCCGGGAGCGGGGCCGTGGCTGTTTCGGGCCCTTGAGAGGATGCGGGGGCAGTCCCGGGCTGCGGGGCACGGGACACCCTCGGGGAGAGACGCCCCCTAGAAGGGACAGAGCCGCGGGGCTTGGGGGCGGTGGGTCTGGCAGTGGCACCGGGACCCCCGTGTCCTGCTCAGGCAGGCGAGGCCGGCCCGGTGCCCTCGGGCTGGGATTCAGCTCGGAGCCACGGGCAGACACTGTTCCCTTCGGGCTTCTGGGAGGCGTGAAGCTGTGCAAGCCGTGCCTGGTGCCTGAGCTCTCTCTCCTGTTCCCTAGATGAGCCGTTCTCCAACCCCCTGGCCCCCGAGGGCCACGATGTGGACGACTCGCACTCCTTCCACCAGTGAGTACAGCCCTGGGGCACTGGGCTGGGGCTGGAGCAGCACTGAGGGACCCCAGGCTGATTCCCATGGAGAAGCTGGAAATCACTGGTGCACTCCAGCCTTTGGGCTTCCTCCACGGGTACCTTGTGCCCATCTCGGTCACACAGGACCTGCTCCTCCTCCAGAGCTCTTTGGGAGTGATGGTTTCTGTTCCTTCCCTCCCTTGCAGGTCCAAGCTGACCAATGAAGACTTCAGGAAGCTTCTCATGACCCCGCGGGCTGCGCCAACATCTGCGCCACCCTCCAAATCTCGCCACCATGAGTGAGTAGGGCTGTGTTTCACAGGTCCATGGGACAGTCCATGCCCCCTTTCCCTCTGGGGCTCTGGGCCCAGCTGACCCTCTCCCCTGCACTCTGCAGGGGAATATTTACAGGGGCTTTTGCCAGTGAGTGTGGGAAGTGGGGAAGCACGTGGGTCAGGGCTGCTGTAAGGAAAAGAGTGAGGCTTCATGGCTTTTAAGACACTGTGCAGGAGGCAGATTTGGTTTGGTCAAAATCAGTCTTTTCCCTTCCTCTGCCTGCTGACAGTGTAGAATTAGGGGGGAATTAAGGGTGAGAGACTGTTCTGTTCCATCTCCGAGCACCTCAGTGCTCTGCTGTATCTAGGGACTGTTCTGTCCACCTGTCACCCATGTGGCTCTGCAGGCTGTACATGTGTTTTTCCACCCTTTTCCAGGATGCCCCGGGAGTACAATGAAGATGAAGATCCAGCAGCTCGCAGGAGAAAGAAGAAAAGGTAAGTGGGGAAAGAGATGCAGCAGGACTTGTCATTATACATCATGTCCTGCCAGTGGAAGCAGTTCTGATCTCTTGTGCTCCCAAAGAGAGCCTTGAGTGGATTATTTAAGAGCTTTGGAGAAGAGCTCAGGCTGAGGAGCTGTCACTGCTTGTGGGAACAACTGTGGGAGGGCAGCAGTAGGATGGGGTGAAGCTTCACCTCCAGAAGAAGCAGGAGAGGCCCTGTGGGTGTCTGGGAGAGCAGGGCAGTGGTGGGACCTTGCACTGATCCCTGTGTGCTTTGGGACATGTCTGCACAGCAGGACTGCGCTGGACCCCTTCCCTTTGGAAGGGAGGACGGAGCTCCTCAGTACAGCAGTTTCCTCCAGGCCTGTTGTGTCCCGTGGTGCTCTAGTGCATTTCTGGGGAAAGGACTGGGAGCAGAATGGGTGTGTGTGAGGCCTCAGGAACTGTTACCTGACCTCAAAACCATGAGCAGGTCACTCTTAACCCTGAGCTGTGTGCCACCCCCAGTTACTACGCCAAGCTGCGGCAGCAGGAGATCGAGCGCGAGAGGGAGCTGGCCGAGAAGTACCGGGATCGAGCCAAGGAGAGGAGAGATGGAGTGAACAAGGACTACGAGGAGACAGAGCTGATCAGCACCACTGCCAACTACAGGGCAGTGGGGCCCACGGCCGAGGCGTACGTGGGCTGTGCTGGGGGCTGGGCTGGCCGGGCTGGTCTGGGGGGGCTGGCCCTCACCTGGCTCTGGTCTCACCGCACAGGGATAAATCTGCTGCGGAGAAGAGGAGACAGTTGATCCAGGAGTCCAAGTTCTTGGGTGGTGACATGGAGCACACTCACTTGGTGAAGGGTCTGGACTTTGCGCTGTTGCAGAAGGTGAGTGCAGATATCACAGTGCTGCTCTTGGCCTGTCCTCTCCCACAGACACACAGGGTGGGGATTACTGCTTGGTCTTGGCAGTGTGGATGTCTTTTCCTGGGAAGGGTTGCTGCAGGGCTGGGGATCTGATGGGCTCACAGATGGGCAGCAATGGCATGGGATGGACTGTAATGTGTGGATTTACTCTGCATCCAGGTACGAGCTGAGATTGCCAGCAAGGAGAAGGAAGAGGAGGAAATGATGGAGAAGCCCCAGAAAGAAACTAAGTGAGTGATTGAGTATTTGGCATTCCTGAGTGCAGCTGCTTGCCAGAGAGGAAGATGCAGAGGAGTCATTCACTTGGCTCTAACACTTCTGGTTTCTGTTTCTGTTTAGGAAAGATGAAGATCCTGAGAACAAAATTGAATTCAAGACCCGGCTGGGTAAGACTGTGTTGATGTGGCTGTTCCCCACCTTGTCTGTGCTGTGAATGTGGGAGAAATCCTGGAGGGTGAATGTAGGAATGAAAACCATTGGAGTGGGAGATTCCTGAATTTGAGGACTGAAAGAAGTGTGTACTTAGGAGGTGATTGTCTTATTGCTGATAAACTAAACATGGTTCACTTTGGGCTTGTCCTCTGCTTTCCCACACTTTTCCTTCTGCCCAGGCCGCAACATTTACCGCATCCTGTTCAAGAACAAGACCTACGAGCGGAACGAGCTGTTCCTGCCGGGCAGGATGGCCTACGTGGTGGATCTGGATGATGAATATGCCGACACTGACATCCCCACCACGCTGATCCGCAGCAAGGCTGACTGCCCCACCATGGAGGTACCAGCTGGCCTGCAGCCTGCTTCCCCTCACTGCTCTGAGTTTGACCAGAGCAGATTGTTCTGGGAGGGCTTCCCTGTCAAGGGAGCGGGATGCTTCCTCCTGGATTTCCCTTTCAGGCACAGACCACGCTGACCACCAATGACATTGTCATCAGCAAGCTCACGCAGATCCTCTCCTATCTCAGGCAAGGCACCCGCAACAAGAAGCTCAAGAAGAAAGACAAAGGTAGGAGGTGACAGGAACCAAGTAATAGGATTTGAGTGCTTGGAGCATATCCCAAGGGAATGGGATGTGCTTTGGTTTGTGGTATTCCCCTGTGCCGTGAGACAGGGGGCTTGGAGAACAGTGATTTCCTAAATGCTGAGTCCTGAAGGCAGAAGCACATTGGACAGGCTGCTGGGAAATTAGAGCTGTGAGGGAGGGTACCTCGTGGTGCTCTGCTCTTCCTGATGAAGGCCCAGTTCCTTGGGGAAATGCCTCTTCTTGGGGAGGGACACCATGGCTTCCTGGGGGGGGCTGGGTATAATGTGACATCCTCCAGGCTTGCCACTCCTGCAGCTTGGAACCTGGACAGGGGGGCAGCACAGGGGGCAGAGTGGATGTTGTGCCTCTCACTGCTGTTGTGTCCTTGCAGGGAAGCTGGATGAGAAGAAGCCTCCTGAAGCTGATATGAAGTAAGTGCCTCCCTGCTCTCAGGGTATGGGGTCACAGCTCTGTCTCTTAAGGAATGGCTTTTTGGCCCTCCACATTCAGAGAGGGCTGAGTTTGGAGCTGCTGGACCTGCAGTTTGTAGGATAAGGCTGGAGGCAAGCTCTGGTTTGGATTTCAGGCTTGAGGCAGGTGAGGGCTCACTGTTGCCCCGGACCACACAACTCGGGTCCTGCAGCAGAAGGGAGCAGAGGTGCAGTGATACCTCTGACAGAGGTGGAAACCACTTCCATATCTGGTGTCCTTAGCTCTTGGTGCCGGTCCTATATGTTCCAGGTGACAGGAGGTGGGTATGGCCTCTCTTCCTGCAGCACATGTAACTCCAGGCTCTTTTCCACTTGTAGCATCTTTGAAGACATTGGGGATTATGTGCCCTCCACTGCCAAGATGCCACGGGACAAGGAACGGGAGAGATACCGGGAGAGGGAGCGGGACCGGGACCGGGAGCGAGACCGGGAGCGAGAGCGTGACCGGGAGCGCGAGAGGGACCGGGAGCGGGACCGGGAGCGCGAGGAGGAGAAGAAGAGGCACAGCTACTTTGAGAAGCCCAAGGCTGATGATGAGGTGAGTCTCTGCTTGTGAAGGCCTGTCCCACCTGAGATCTACCCTTTGTGGGGTTGGGGGCTTTGGGTGACTCTGGTTGTGCCCCTGCACGTGCCAGTGTCAGCTCCTGCTGAGCTGTGCCTGTCCCCAGAGCTTGCTGTGTGGCTGGGTGCTTGTCCTGTCCCTCAGCCAGTGAGGCAGCACTAGCACCAGCCTGCTGGGCTTGTGGTTCAGCTCTGTGTGATTGACACTGTCTCTCCCTCTTCTTTGCAGCCCACAGACATCGACAAAGGTGAGTCAAGTGGTGTGAGCACCTGAGAGCGATGGGACAAGGGGGAATGGTTGTAAGCTAAAAGAGGAGAGATTTAGATTATATATTAGGAAAGAATTCTTCCCTGTGAGCATGGGGAGGCCCTGGCAGAGCTTGCCCAGAGAAGCTGTGGCTGCCCCATCCCTGCAAGTGTTCAAGGCCAAGTTGGGCAGGGTTTGGAGCACCCTGGAATGGTAGAAGGTGTCCCTGCCTATGGCAGGGAGTTGGAACAAGACGGGCTTCAAGATTCCTTCCAACACAAACTGTTGTAAGATTCCAGGTCTCTTGGGATCAGCTGAGCCCATCAGTGCCAAACTGGTTTGCTCCTCCTCTTGTACCTAATGTGAGGCAGCTTATCCTGCATGTTACTGTGTCCCAAAGGGACTCTGCTCAGCCCCAGTATTCTGCAGTGACCTGTTCTCCCCCCAGATGTAACCTGCTGCTTTCTCTACCCCAGGACCCGGCTCAGCCAAGGAGCTCATCAAGTCCATCAATGAGAAGTTTGCTGGAGCTGCTGGCTGGGAGGGAACAGAGGCATATCCTTTATGTCTGTGCCAGCCTGACTGGCTGTGGGGCTGGGCTGACCTTGCAGGCACAAGCACATCTGGGGAACTGTCCTGCCTCACCTGATTGCAAGGAAGTGCTTCTCCCACACCAAACAAAAGCTCTACATCCCCTGGTTTGGTTGTGTTGGGGCAGGAGGGGGTTTTCAGCTGGCTGTGCCCAGCCTGCAGCTGTAAGGCTCAGCTCATACGGTATTTTCCTTAACTGCTGCCACTTTGAAGAAGCCAGAAGACAAGAAGCAGCTGGGAGACTTCTTTGGCATGTCCAACAGCTATGCCGAGTGCTACCCTGCCACGTAAGGAGCAGTGGGAAGCTGTGGGGTGGGAGCAGGCTGTGCCAAGGGGCTGCTGTTCTCTGGCAGTAAGAACTTGAACATCAGACCCACTGCTTGTTGGGGAGCAGGCCTGGCCTTGTCTGTGGCAACAGCTGACTGGTAAAACCATCCCAAGCCCTTGGCCCTTCTTAGCTGCTCTCTGCTGTAGGTGGCTGCCTGGAGCCTGCTGCCCCTCAGAGCCAGGGGGAGGCTGAGGTAGCTGGGAATCTGCTGCATTCCCAGTTAATCCATGTGGTTGTGAAGCTGTGGCCTCCCTCAGTGGGAGAGGAACACGTTTCAGCTTGCGGAGTCATCCTGGAAGCATTTCCAACCTTGGATGCCCTATGGTACAGGCCACTTGCAGGGCTTGCAGCTGGGGGCACTTCCCTCTGGCCCAGGAACTGAGTTTGTTTGGTCTGAGGCCATGAGACACGACTCCCACCAGCTCCAAGGCCCTGATCCATCTCATGGACCCACTCTGAACCCTTTCCTTGCTTTTTTCTTCCCAGAATGGATGATATGGCTGTGGACAGCGATGAGGAGGTGGACTACAGCAAAATGGATCAGGTATGTTGGCACCAGCCTTGAGGAACAGCCAGCAAAGTAGGCACCCGTGCCAGCTGAGAGGATCCCATGGGAAAGAAGCAGCACTGGAGCTGGGTGCTGAGTGAGCTTTGGGGTTTGCTGATCTGCTCCCTGTTGTGTCAGGAAGCAAACAGGTGTCACTGGCACTTGACCCAGAGGTGTTGATAGGCATGCTACTCTGTCCTGACTTCCTCTTCCACAAAATATGGAACATCTTTATGGAGGGGATCTGGAGCCAAGGCCATTGATTTGGGGCTGGTGGGAGATGGAGCCTCATGGCTGGGTGTGCAGGGCTGTGTGAGAAGCCCTCCCAGCAACTGAGGAGCTGCTCTGAGTCGTTCTCTCCCTGCAGGGTAACAAGAAGGGGCCTCTGGGCCGCTGGGACTTTGACACACAGGAGGAGTACAGCGAGTACATGAACAACAAAGAGGCTCTGCCCAAGTGAGTGCAGCCCTCAGGAAGGGCCAAACGAGGGTTCTGGGCGGGATGGCCATGCTGGCCAAGCCTGGGTGCTGGGGCAGCTTAAAGCAAGCTGGGGGCTCTCTTGTGAGAACCTGAGGAGGAGCTGTGGGTCCTGGGTCTGGTTTGGTTTTGCTTTTAGCGTCTCCTGAGGACTCTGGCCCAGGTGCTGCTTTCGGGGGCTCAGGCCAGCTCTGGAGCATGTGCTCGTGGCTGGGGACACATGTCCCTTCCTGTGGCAGGCTGTGAGTGGATCCCCTGTGAGTGCTGAGCCATGCTTTGCTCTTTCTCCAGGGCAGCCTTCCAGTACGGCATCAAGATGTCTGAGGGACGCAAGACGCGCCGCTTCAAGGAGACCAACGACAAGGCGGAGCTGGACCGGCAGTGGAAGAAGATCAGCGCGGTGAGTGCCCCGGCTGGGCTGGGGCTGCTGTGCCACGAGCTCCCCCCCAGCCCTGTGCTCGCTGTCCTGCCACAGCCAGTGTGTGTGTGAGCACCAGGGCTGGCTCTCCACCAGCTGCATTTGCTCCTTGCAAGAGCATCAGCCAAGTACTTGGGGCTTCAGTATTGAGGTGGCTGGAGCTCTATTTGGAACCCTTGTCCTGCGAGCAGCCCCACACTGGGGCTTTTTGCTCTGGGCTGTGCAGCAGATGAATGTGCCCAAACCCCATTCGTTTGGAGCCATCCAAAGGGTATGGTAGGGGACAGGATGTGTTTAGTGGCTCCCTGTTTGCCAGCTGGCAGAGCTGGGGGTTGTCGTGGCAGTATGGGACAGGCTGGGGAAGGTGAGAACAAATGGTCTGTGGTGGCCAGAAAGGAGCAAAGGGCGAGCAGGCTGAGCTTCTCCAGCTGTAGCTCGCCTCAGCTCACTGTGGCCTGGCTGCAGCTCTCCCCAGGTGTATCTGGCACCCTCCAGCCCCTCTGCTGGCTGTGAGCAGCCAGATCCCCTGAGGGTAACAGGACTTTGTGCTTTCTCTGCAGATCATCGAGAAAAGGAAGAAGTTGGAGGCTGATGGGTAAGTACAGTAGTCTCTGTGCCTCAGCTGCAGGGGCCCTGCTGGCTCCCCCCCACCTTCTGTGGTGTGAAAGTGTGGATGTCAGTGCTGAGCTCTGGATGGTGGAGCTGCCTGCCCTGCATCCTCACCGCTCTCCTGCCCCTCTCTGTCTTCCAGGGTGGAGGTGAAACGTCCCAAGTACTGATTTCTCCTGCGTTTCTTCCTCCCTCTCCTGGAATCCTGGCCTGCTGGGAGCTGCCTTCCTGGAGCCTGCTGGTGTGCTGTCCTTGCTCCACACACCATCCACTCTCTGCTCAGGGTTGGGGGCTCTTCCCTCCCTCTGTTCTTTGCTGTAGAGCCTGTGCTGTGTAAATGTTGTAGCCTTAATAAAACCTCATTAAATTTGTGTGCGAGCATCTGTTTGTGTGTGCAGGGAGGAGGGGCCTGGGCACATTCTGGCCTCCTTTTGAGCAGCAGGGATGCTAGGACTCTTCTACTTACCAGGCACTGTTGGGGCTGACAGGGCAAACCGTTGCTCAGTGTATTTATTGTGGGAGCCTTTTGGGCTAGGGGCAGCATCCCTGGAAAAAATTAACAAATTTGAGGGTAATCCAGCTGAGCATTATGTGCCTCAGGGTCGAAGGAAGAAATGGGATCCTGAGCTCAGGTACAGAAAGAGCAATGACCTGAAGCAGAGGATGTGCAAGCTGCTCTAAGCGTCGGCAAAGGGCTGTTGTGGGTATGGTGGGGCCAGCACCAGGCAAAGCTCGTTCCCTCAGGGCCTGACCTGCAGGGAGCTGGGATGGCCCCTCGGGCAGGGACGCTGTTGGTGGTCCCTGGCTGGGTTGGGGTGTTTAGGGGGGCCCTACAGCCCCCAGAGCCTGCAAGGGGCCGAAGTGGCACCTGGTCCCTGGCCACCCCCTCCCCTGGGATCAGAGAGGGGAGATGACTGTGTGAATCAGGGAGCCTGTGGAGCTCCCAGTGGTGGGGCCCCGAGGCGGGGGAGCCCCGCAGCCGGGCCGGTCCCGCAGCGCTGGAGAGGCGCGGGCGGGCGGTCCCACGTAATCAGAGGGGCGGGGTATATGTAAATGAAGGCGTGGCCATGTAAATGAGCAGGGAGCCATGGCGGCCGCCATGGAGGAGGTGAGCACGCGTGGGGCTGCGGGAGCCCGGAGCCCCCGGCCCCGGTCCCACGGCCCCGCTGTCCCCAGGAGCCGCAGGAGTCCCCGGAGCCGGCGGCGCGGGAGCCGCGGGTGCGGGACACCCCCGAGGACATCTGCCTGGAGGCCACGGCCAACGCCATCGCGCTGCACCCGGCGCGGCCGCTGCTGGCCGCGGGGGACGTGGACGGCGATGTGTACCTGTGAGTGGGGCCGGGCTGGGGAGGGGGTCCCGGCTCTGGGACACGCTGCGCACCGGCGGCGGGGCTCCCCAGCTGCCCGCGGGTCCCGGCGAGCACTCCCGGTGCCGGCAGGTACTCGTACTCCTGCACCGAGGGGGAGAACCGGCAGCTCTGGTCCTCGGGACATCACCTCAAGTCGTGCCGGGACGTGGCGTTCTCCCAGGACGGGCAGAGTGAGTGCGAGGGACGTGGGGTGGCACCGGGCGACGCCGGGCGGGGGGCACTAACGCGGCTCTCCAGAGCTTTTCACTGTGTCCAAGGATAAGTCCATCCACATTCTGACTGCGGAGGAGGGACGGCTGGAAACGCGCTTCCCCAAGGCTCACGAGTAAGTCCATGCAGGCGGCTCATTCTGGGCACAACAGCTGGGGCATTGTCCCCTTCTGTCCCTCGGCACAGCCACACAGCCCTGGGCCGTGGGGAGAGCCCGCAGCGCTGCTCCAGCAGCCGTGACTGGGGCCGGGGTCTCTGCAGAGCAGCTCTCAACTGCGTGCTGCCCATCGACAACCACATCTTTGCCACGGGTGACGACGGCGGGGCAGTGAAGGTGTGGGACCTGCGCAGGGGCAGTGCCATCCTGGAGGCACGGCAGCAGGAGGAGTACATCAGTGCCATGACTGTGGATGGCAACGGGAAGATCCTGCTGACAGCCAGGTACCGGAGGGGCTTCGTGGTCTTGGAGTCAGGCTCCCCGTGTCCATTCACGGCTGGAGTGCCCTGTGCCATGTCCCGTGCTCACAGAGTGTCCCTTCTACGTCCCACAGTGGTGATGGCACCTTGGGCGTCTACAACGTGAAGAGACGGCGCTTTGAGCTGCTCTCGGAGCCGCAGAACGGCGACCTGACGTCTGTGGTGCTGATGAAGGTAGGCACTGCTCCCAGCATGGAGCAGGATCCCACAGCCCCCTGTCCTCGCTCCATTTTTTGTTCTGCCTCTGCCTCACTGCCCTCCCTCATGCCTAGAGGGGGAGGAAGGTGGCGTGTGGCTCCAGCGAAGGCACCATCTACCTCTTCAACTGGGACGGCTTCGGGGCCGCCAGCGACCGCTTTGCGCTCAGGGCAGAGACCATTGACTGCATGGTGCCCATCACGGACAGCATCGTGTGCGTGGGGTCCCTGGACGGAGTCATCAGGTCAGGGGCTGCGGTGGGGAGGGATGGGGAGCTGTGGGATGGGATGAGGGGGAATGGAGAGCGATGGGATGGAAGGACGTGGGATGTGGAGGGATTGTGGGGGGTGAGATGGGATAGGGAGGGGGGAGTGGTGGGATAGGAAGGGGAGAAGAGCAGGCATCTCCATTTGGGGGAGGTGGGATGGGGAGGGGGTGACAGGTAATTGTGGAGAATAGGATGGGGTGGGATGGGCTGGGGTGGACCGAGGAGGGTGTGGGACGGGATCAGCCGTGCCCAGGACAGCAGAGCGGGCAGACGGCGTTCCCGGGCGCTGCAGGGCCCTCAGTGCCCCGTGCCGTGCCCAGGGCGGTGAACGTGCTGCCGAACCGCGTGCTGGGCTGCGTGGGGCAGCACCTGGGCGAGCCCATCGAGCAGCTGGCCGCGGCCGCGGACGGGAAGCTCCTGGCCAGCAGCGGCCACGACCAGAAGGTGAAGTTCTGGGACGTGTCGGCGCTCGGCTCCATGGTGGTCGATGATTACCGCCGGAAGAAGAAGAAGGGCGGGCCGCTGCGCGCCCTCAGCAGCAAGGCGCTGGGCAGCGGGGAGGATTTCTTCGCCGACCTGCGGGACGAGGCCGAGCCGGAGGCGGCGGAGGGCGGTGACAGCGGCGACAGCGACAGCGACTGAGCGGCCGCGCGGGGCCGGGGGCGCTGCCCCCTCAGCGCTGCCGCCCCGCCCGGCGCGGGGGCGGGGCTCTGCGCGTCCTTCTCGCGGGGCGCGACCAATCAGAGCCGCAACCCCTGGCAGTGCCCGCCTACAGGGCGTGGCCTGACTGGTATGCTACTGTTGTCAGTGGGCAGGACGCTGGCGTTCTGATTGGCTCCTAGGGCTGCCACTCAAGCTGGGATGTAGGCGCGGTCTTAAAGGGGCAGCGCGCGTCGGAGCGGGTGGGGGTCCCACAGGGGACAGGCTGGGCATGGTGAGGCTGAGGGTCCTGCCGGAGGACCTGGAGCGGGGCAGGCCTTCAGGGGTGGGGGCACATGGCTGGGGCGAGAGGGACTGGGAACGGTCCCTGCCTGGGGTCCGTGAGGGATGGGGAGGGGCTCTGAGATGGGGGGACAGGGCTGGGGGCTCTGGTCACTGACTGGGGCGGGGTTACCACTGAGGGTCCCTGCTGTGGGCAGTGCAGGGATGGGGGGACATGGCTGAGGGCTCCTGGTGGAGGGGTTATGGGGGAAGGGTCGTGATTGAACATCCCTGGTGAAGGAGGGGGGTGCTGGGATAAGGGAGGACAGGGCTGGGGGCTCTGGTGGATGAGAGGGCTGCTCTGAGCTATGGGGGACAGGGCTGGGGGCTCTGGTGGATGAGAGGGCTGCTCTGAGCTATGGGGGCTGGGGTTTGCTGGTGAATTTGGGGGTCCTTCGGGTTGTTTTGGGATGGGGGGAGGCAGGGCAGTTCTCAGGAGGGGTGAGGGGGTGACATGGGGTCCCGGGATGCCTGGCCAGGGCAGACAGGTTCATTGCTTTCCTGCCCTGCTGTCCCAGCAGGTCAATTACCCTTTGTTAATTAAGATTTTAGCTCTGTTAGAAATAAATTCAGTGCCTTTCACTTCCCAGCGCCTTGTGCTGATGGTTCATCCTCATGAGGCAAGGACTCCTGGTGTGCCCCAGGAGGGACAGACAGACTTCCAGGGAGTGCAAGAAAGAACCTAAAGAGGGCACCCCCAGGCTCTTGGAAGATCCTGGGGATCTCCAAAAGGAAGAGGGGAGGGACTTGGGTGCTGCCAAAGAGACTTGGTGGGTCACAGAGCGCCATGAACAGGGAGGGGACAGGGATCCCTCCGGGGCTGGTCCTTCCCCGGGGATGAGCAGAGTGGGCAGCAGGGCCTGGAACAGTGTCAGACATGGCCTGCACCTGCTGGGGAACGGGGAGGATCTGCTCTGGTGCAGTTCCACCAGCACTTCTACTCCTGGCTGTGGCTCCCATCCCCCAGTGGATTCCCAGCACTGCCTGGGAGCCCTTGGACCACCAGCTGCAGCCCCCAGGTGCTGCTGGCCCAGGGGTTCATTCCTGGAGCTTGGGGTGGGCAATCTACGAGACTGAGAGACACCTGCAGTCCCTGGAGAGCATAAAGGGGTGTCCTGGTTTGCAGGACAGGTGTCTGCTAAGGAAGGCAGGAGCCTCACATGGAATGGTTATTGTTCCTTAGCAACAAAAACAGGGGAATATTCCCTAAGACAGAGAAAAAAACAAAAGGAAAAACCTCCAACAAGGTGCTACCAGATATCCCAGAGGACCACCAAAAGACATGGGAGGACATCAGGATGCACTTGGAGAAGCCTGAGGGGTATCAAAAGCTGGTCAGAGAGAGCCCAGTGAGTAGAAGACAACAAAAATCAAGGTGTTAGGGAATGCTGCTTCCTACACAATGGGCCCACCAGGCTCTGAAGGCTCCAGATCCCACCCTGTCCCTTCCCCTGCCTCTCCTGGTGTGTGGGGAGAGCACTGAGATGCACTGGACAGGCAGGGAGTGAGGATGCAGGAGGCAAAGATGACATGACCCAGTTGGTGCTCTCCAGAACTCTTTAATCCCAAAAGGACAACATGTGGCCAGATGTGCCACTCCCGAGGAATCATTCATGGACAGCTGCCAACTCCACAGCTGCTTCCTCATTATGCAAACAGGTTACAGGCACTCCTCTCCCCACACAGCAGCTCCACCAGCCCACACAACATCTGTGACCACTGGGACTCTCCCTGTGTGTGGCCTTGTCCTCCCCTGAGGCTGCTCCTCAGGAGCCAGGAATGCCAGTGGAGGAATTCCCTCCATCACACTGGCATCCAGTGCTGGCAGCCCCTCCAAGAGCTGCTGCTGCTTCTCCAGGATCTGCCCCTCCAATGCAACAAAAAACCAGCTTAACAGAAGCCAAACTTGGAAACAGGAAAACCAACAACCCAAAACTAGAACCAACTCAAGGGCTGCCCGTGCACAGGGTGGCTGTCGTGCACCAGGACAGCAGCCCTTATCCTCTAGAGCCAGCTCTCAAAACCGATGCAAACAACTCCAAGGAAAACTGGAACAGGGCTGGGAGCCCAGCAGGGCTCGGGCTCAGTCATGGCTGTGGCAGAACCAGCCTACTTCAGCTGGCACCCTGCAGTGGAGAGGGAAGGGTCAGGCTCTGCCCTCACCCCCAAACCCCCTCCTCTTGCATCCTGTGCTTCCAATCAGAAGCTCAGAGCTGACAGTGCTTCAGCCCTGCCAGCCAGCCTGGGTCCCTCCCTGCCCCATGCCACCCTGCCCAGAAGTGCCACAGCTCCACCCTCCCGGGGACCCTTCAAGACTGTGGGAAAGGCAGGGAGCTGGCTGTGCAAGGACTCACCAAGGACTCACCTAACATCCGCAGAACGCGCAGGGCTGCCACCACCTTGGCCTCGTCGTGCTCGCTCCGGCCCTGCCTGTCTGGTGAGATCCACATGAAGCCACTGATGTGCACATGGGACCCCGGGATCACCACCTGGTACCAGAACCGCTGCCACCCGTTGGGGTTCACCTGGACACACCTGGTCATGAACAGGGGTGTCCTCAGGTGATGCTTCCAGCACAGCATGTTCAGGTACTCCAGCACATTCTGCAGCGATGGAGGCAGGGGCACTGCAGGGCTCTCACCCCCCTGCACCCTGCTGGACGACGGCTCCTCCTCACAGAGCTGCAGCTTCTGCTTCAGTTGGGGGTCCAGCCAGTCCACCCTCATCTTTGCTTCCCCGAGCCTCAGGTTCCCTAGGAGACAGGAGATGCTCACCTACCCTCCAGCACCATCCCATCCCATCCCATCCCATCCCATCCCATCCCATCCCATCGATCTCCAGGATTTTAGGGGCAGCTTTAATTTAGGGCCAAGGTGAACAGGTACCAAAGACAAATGCACCTGAGCTGGGGCAGAAATGGGTACAAACCAAGACTTTGGAGGTCCTGGTTGGATGTCTAGGAAATGTGTCCCATCAGGGCACTGCAGTCAGAGGATAGGGCTCAAGAGGGATTGAGCAGCTCCATCAGGGGTGTTTAAGGGACACTGAAGGGCTGGGCAGCTCCATTGGAAAGGTTAAATAACTTGGTTAATGTTCGGGATGCTCTGAACTGGTGATGCTCCTGCTCTGAGCAGGGAGCTTCCTGGAGACCTCCAGCAGCCCCTTCATCCCACCACCAGCAGGACCGCTGGAAATCAACTTCACCATGGGCAGCTGGCATCCCACAGGACACAGGGAGAGAGCAAGGGGTGTCTCAAGGCCAAAGTCATCTTGCAGCCAAGGCTGAAGGTGGGAAGCCCAGCCCAAGCAGCATTCCTCAGCACCACTAACCTTCCATCAGGGCTTTCTTGGCCATGGCAGCAGCCTCGTGCGACCTGTACTTCAGCACAGCAAGCTTGGCCTGTTTCTGGGAGGGGCTGGCGTGCAGGGTGACACTGCAGATCCCCTCAGTGACCATCTGCAGCATGGCCTCCAGCTCCTGCTGGCTCACCGAGGCGCCCAGGCCGTTCACAACGAGCTCGCGCTTCTGCGTGCTCCAGCACACCACGATGGCGCAGCCCCGGCGCAGCTGGAAGCGGTGGAAGGCGGCGATGGCGCTCTGGGCGTCCTGCCGGGAGCCGTACCTGGCGTAGGCGAAGCCCCGGTTGAGCCCGCTGAAGGTCATCATGAGGCGGAACTCGTAGAGCTTCCCCGCGCTCTCGAACAGCGGGATCAGGGTGTTCTCGTAGATGTCCTGCGGCAGCCTGGCGATGTACACCTCGGTGCCGGCCGGCGGCGGGCCGCCCACCCAGCCTGCGGGGACACGGGGACCACGGCGGTTACAAACAGCACCAGGCTCCCGGTACTAAAGTGGTTTCAGCATTTATTATAATAAAGGCCTAAAGCCCACGGGCCGAGCAGGAGCGTTCCCGTCAAGGATGCTGCAACGCCTGAGCTGGGTCTGCTTCAGCAGAGATGTCCCCGAGGTTCCAGGTGGAGCAGCACACCTTCCCTGGGTCAGATGCCCTTTTTTATCCTGTTTTTTGTCCCTTTGGGTGGATTTCTGTTTGGATCCTTCATTTGCATGAAGGTTTTAGGCGCCTGATTGGCCCATTACAGTTCTGTCCAGGCTGGCTCGTTTCCCCTGGGGGATGGTGCACTTCACTTAGGTGTAATACAGTAGTTGAGTACTGTATTTCTTATAACTACCCTTGTAATCCCTTTTACCATAACCAAACTATAGTACATGCTTAACAATTATCAACTATTTTACAACAGTTTCTAGCCTATTTTTACCACGGTGAGTCCCCTCCCGGCCCCACGGCCCAGCTGCTCTCCTGGCGTACCTGGGGGGGGCCCTCCGTAGCGCCTCTGCCCGTTGATTTGCACCAGCTCGATGCCCGTCTCCTTCTCCCAGGCCAGCAGGGCCATCTTGCCGGCCTCGTTGATTCCGTTGGTCCATGGCTGAAGGAGGAGATGGTGGCAGTGATTGTGTGAGCAAAGAGCTCACAGCCTCCCAGCTAGGAGCATCCCAACCCCGTGAAAGAACTGCAAGATCCACGGCCAGCACGTGGAGGGGCAAACAAACCCCTCTGCTCTCAGGGAACCTGAGGAGCCTCCCAGTGCTCCCATTCGAAGGACTGTCCAAGCCTGCTCCACGTGACACAAAGTCCAGCAACTCTGTTAGAGCCCAAAGTCAACAACAGTTTCCTACAGCCCTGCAAGGGCTTGGGAAGCCAAAACACAGGCAGCAGCTGCCTGGTGCTGCAAGAGGGAGCTGGAGCACAGAGCCAAGGTGACCCACTGCATCAGGACTGCTTTAAAGGGAAAGCCAGTGAGTTACATTGAATATTGGGAAGAAAATCATCCCTGTGAGGGTGATGAGACACTGGTGTTGCCCAGAGAAGCTGTGGCTGCCCCATCCCTGGAAGTGTTCAAGGCCAGGTTGGATGGGGCTTGGAGTAACCTGGGATAGTGGAAGGTTGCCTGCCAGTAGAGAAGAGATAATATTAAAGAGAAACAAGAACTGACAACTGAACTGGAAAGCAGAAAAGCAGCTGAGTTATTATTACTGTCCTTGAAAATAGAACAGCTGCAGAGACAGTTACAGGAGGACAAAAAGGAAAACAAAAGTTGGAGGAAAAAGTTTAGCTAATGCTTATGCAGTCTCCAAGTGCTCCTGACATTGTGCAGATTAGAAAATTAACTGCATCTCCTAAAGACTGGCCAAATCCTTGGCCTTGTTACAAAACGAGATGAAATTAAAAAAGACACAGACTTTAATGAACAATTGTCGCAGAGTGCTACTGAAATTTTAGAACACTGAGAAATCCCCGCCTGTGCAACACTAATCGCATGCATTTTGGTATCACCACGAAATTCACTCCATCCCACAACTCAGTAATATGGGTGAGATGTGGCATGGAGTAATTTTCATGGTGATACCAAGAATTCTACATGTAATATCAGACCAATTGACCATTCTCAAGAGCTAGGATTTACAGGTTGTTCACCGAGAAAACAGAGGTGGAAAGAATTATATAATCAAGCATTATTTTCAAGAATTAAAAAAAAATTCAATTCTCCTCCCCGGGGCAAAGGTGAAAGAAAACCCTTACTAAAGTTATTTTAAAAAAATTAAAAGCTGTATAATTTCCAACAGGAGCAGTACACCCCATGATCCTGTCACAGCAGGATGGGGTTTTCCCGAGCATGGCACTTAAATGTAACTTGCTTCAAACTGGCCCTGACGAACGGTACCTTCACTGCTTAGCTCGACTGCATTTCAGGATGCAGAGATGTTCTGAATGGGAAAAGGGACTTTTATCTCTAGTCTGAGCAGTGAAACGAGCTCACATTTTCCATGTAAGTAGGTACAATGGGCCAAAAAGGCAGAATTCAATGGGTTTTCCATACCCCATATTACCCCAGCCAGATGGAAGCACAGAATGGGCTAATGGCCTATTGAAAAAGAGCCCGAAGCCACACAAGGCTGAGAGAGACGTTCAGGGTAAATAATCGCTGTGGGCCAGGTGTGCAAACCCTGAATGAGGTGCTCCACTTTCCATTCAGGGGGAACGTCTGGCAGCTTTACAGTCAGGACAATGTGTTCCTGTAAAAGTAACACAAAACAATGCCTGAGACCAACTAAACCTCGGGGCACACTCACTTGGGAATCTAGGGACAGCAGTGTCTAAAAAAGTGCAAAACAGAATTAGTGCTCCGTGGCTTTTCCCTGTTTTTAATGGGATAATAACTTGTCCGGGCAAACCCCGCGGAGACTTGTATTATTTTACTTTTTCAGAAAATGATACTGGAAATGATGCCAGCATGTCTCCACTAAAAATCAAGTTATCCATTGAAGGACTGCTTATTCTCCTCGCAGAACGAATCAGCACCAGAATGAACCAGACTGAGCACATAAATCACCAAACCTGACCCACCGGCTGGAAACTTTCATTTTCTCCATCTGTAATGGTCACTGTGCTAATGGCTGAAACCACGCCTAAGCCTGCAGGCATTTCAATGACCACTGCTAACGAAGAAGCCATAATTGTACAAATTTAGGAGCTCAGCCTACTAACATGAATTTGGCTGAGGGAAATATCACCATAATATGTGAAGCACAACTTTTAACCGAAAAGGGGGAAATTTATTTATTCAGCTTCCAATGCTGACACAAAATATGAAAGGGAAGTTTTGGTGGATATAGGGTACCCACAGCTGTAAGCGAGTAATGCATACTGGCACAACAACAACGAATTTAAACCTCACAATGCATGCCACTACCTCCCAGTCTCCTGGGAAATCTTATCTCCATAAATTTCTAAAATTGGACGCTGTGCCGTCAAATATACCAGCCAAAACAAGTGCTATTTAATCCTTCATGTTCCTCAAAGCAGTGGAATTATCAATGCAGGTTAATAGCTCTGCAATTAAACCTGCCATTTCTGTCTAGTCCCCGTGCACGGTGGTCGGCGGGGTGGCATGGCTGGACCCTGACCCCCCAAAACCATCGGGGGACAGTGAGAGCTATCCTGGGGACAGAGCTGGGAGCACTAAGTACCACGGATGCTGGAGTCCTAGCAAACAAACGCAGTAACAAATGATTTATACTAATTGAAAGATCCGTTTCGACCTTTCTTATCAGCATTAGGAACTGGCCAATGGCCCTTATCAGATACCTCAACGGGAAAGGATGGAGATAGAAGATCACCAGCAAATAGCGATAAATAGTGATAAAAGATCGCTACATAATAGTGAATGCCACCAGGTGGTGGCACCTCTCCACCTCCAAGTCTTTCATGAAGACTAAAAACCAACTTCGGACGAGCGCGGGGATCCTCTCTGGGGAAACACGTGCTCGAAGCGGGATAAAAATCCAGCCGCGTTCCCTCCCCAGAACCTCGTGCCCGGCCCCGTGGCTCCCGCGATGGCTCCCAGCTCAGGGAAGCGGCCCGAGGGGTGCCTGGGCTGTGTGGAGAGCTCTGCAGGACCCAGTTTTCTTCGCACAGCCCGCGCATCCCCGGCCCCGGCTGAGCCCGGGGTGCGGCCGCTCCGCGCTGGGGCCGGGACCGGCACCGGGACCGGGAGCAGCCCTGCCTGCGCTCCCAGCCGGGCCCGGGGGCTCAGATCCCCGCGGGAAGGGCTGAGCCGTGCCCGCCGCGGCGCTCCCCGCCGCCCCGAGAGCGCTCACCGTGCCGTCCATCCCGCCGCTCCCGGCCGTGCCTTTCCCGCCGCTCGGAACGCTCCAGCCGTGCGGGCCGGGGAGAAGGGGAACCAGCGCCGCCCCCCGCACCGCCCCACCCCGGATGGACCCTCGGCAGCGCCGCGAGGGTCTGGCCTTGCTTTGCCTTGCTGGGCTTTGCCTCTCCTTCTGGTACTTGTCCACCTGTCCGCAAGGGAAGGCAAGCGGTCGCTGTAAGAGGCACAGCAGCACGGCCAAACTCTCATAACAGAAGCGACAAGGTTGGAAGAGACCTTCAAGACCACCTAGTCCAACCATCAGCGTAATTAGACTTCAGATAACAACGTCCCCCAAAGATATGCCGGGTTTGAACCTATTCGTACTTGCAGACCTGGAGGGCTTCGTGCTGCTTTTTCCAATACCGGCTGTGAAAAACGCCAATCACTTGTTTTTTAAATTTCTCTAATGCTCCCCAGTGGATCTGTTTACCAGAACTCTGGTTACTCCTGCTGTGGCAGCTCAGCATTTCAGGCACAGGGATGCAGCCCCACTGTTCCAGACCCCAAAGAACAATTCCAACCCTCCACAGCATTGTCACTTGCCAGGCTGTACTCACTCATTCCATAAGGCCCCAAAGCAGCACCATAGGATCTTGCAGGTCCAGATAATGAGCAGTATCTCACAAAACTGTGGGAAAAGGAAAAAAATTTTCCATCTCGACCTAAGTGTGTAATTACGCTGCCCCTGGTGTTCCTTGACCTTTCCCCCACCCCTGAAGGATCAGGACTGTGACCATCACTCAGACCACCAGACATCAAAATTGCAACAATCAACCACTGACCCTGGTGTTCCTTGGCCTTTCCCCCACCCCTGAAAGATCAAGACTGTGACCATCACTCAGACCACCAGACATCAAAATTGCAACAATCAAGTCTCTTCAATCAAGTCTAGTTACTGGATCCACAGTTGGTGAGCTCTTTCACTCTCATTCTTCCATTCATTTTCTCTCTTACACATTTTTTACCTGTTATTCTATGCTTTTATATTGTTGCATTGCTATAATTAACAACCACAGTGGCTACAACTCTGCTTTCCACTCCTTCTAAACAGATCTAAGATAGACCCTGCATATTTTTATTTACAAACACCACTCATTCAGTGTCATTTCACCTCTAATGCTCCCCAGTGGATCTGTTTACCAGAACTCTGGTTACTCCTGCTGTGGCAGCTCAGCATTTCAGGCACAGGGATGCAGCCCCACTGTTCCAGACCCCAAAGAACAATTCCAACCCTCCACAGCATTGTCACTTGCCAGGCTGTACTCACTCATTCCATAAGGCCCCAAAGCAGCACCACAGGATCTTGCAGGTCCAGATAATGAGCAGTATCTCACAAAACTGTGGGAAAAGGAAAAAAATAAATTACTATAAACCTTGAAATATAGACATGCCCCCAAAAATCATATCAAAGAAATAGAAATGGAATACAAAATTGTAATGATTTCAAAAAAGTTTAAAAGTTTTTGGGTTTTCTCCTTAAGAAGGAAGAAGTAGCTCATCCAGCCAGTCTGCCTTGAGCTGTCCTTTATATTTCTGAAGATAAACTGCTTGGCTATACCACTGTTTTGGTAAAAATCCAAGAGCAAGTAGAAAGGGAAGTTAATGAATCATATCCACAAGGAAAAAAAATTACTAGTGATCCAGACTCCTAAAAGCAATGACACACATCGGGCTGTTAAATAGGCTCTGCTCACCCAAGTACCTGCAAATGGAAACTCACTTCAGCAATGTGGCTATTTGTGCAGTGCTGCTATAAAATGTAACTAGGCTTCTTAGTATTTTGAGTAGAAAAATGACTGATTTTTCCAAAGAATTAGTAACTCATTCCCACATCTAGCTAACGTCAGCTCGCTTTTCCATCTCAGCAAGCCAAGGTGTTGCCACTA